CTTGTTGTTGGGTCGTTTGTGCTTGAATGTCTTTATTTTTGTAACTTTATTTTATTTTGTTTTAATTTGAGATTAATATGAGGGTACATGCCATTAGCTTACATTGTTTGCAGTGGTAAGGTAAGGTCTTACTATTGGTAAGGTAAAGTCTAATTACAGTTGTGTCCTTCACCCAGAAGTGCACTGTAGACCCATGCATTGTTCCCATTTGGTGAGAACCTGCTGAACCCCCCTCTGCCCATCCCCCTTTATTGAATTTACTTCAGTATCCTCTCATGTGGGCAGGTAGTTGTTAATCTCCTAGTTTCAATTTAGAATTGAGTACATGTGATACTTGTTTTCCCATTCTTCAAATTCATTCAGGTTGTCACAAAAAATGAAAATTCTCCACCTGTTGTATGCCTGTCTAGTATTCCATGGTGTATATAGACCACAATTTATTTATCCATTCATGTGTCGAAGGTCACCTGGGTTGTTTCCCAATCTTTGTGAGTCTGAAGTGGTCTGTTATAAACATTCCAGTGCAGATGTCCTTACGGTAGTCTTTAAATTATGGGTCCTCTAGAACTAAAGTATAGGGTAGATTTCTTTTAACAATCCTAGAAATCATTTCATACTCACTTTTTAAATTCTCATTTGTCACTTATAATTTGACTTTTAAAGTTCCCAAAAATCTTATTCACATGAATTCAAGTAAAGGGGAATTAATCTTGTAATTATAAGATGGTTAAGTGACCTTAGATCCTAATAAACATAGGGATTGTTACCAGCCTTGAACAAAACATTTCTGGAACTTTAAGAACTCTTAAAAATCTAGCCCCCTACCAACCAGTATAAGAAAAATGAAATAAAAGCTTTTTACTTGCTTCAAATTAATTGGTACCTTAGCGTTCATTTAAACAAGTATTAGTATTATAAATGTACATTATAAATGTCCAAATAAGGCATGAAAAGTAGAGTGTAGAGAATTCTGACTATTCCTATAATTTTTGTTTAAGTTGGGTGTTTGGAATGCTCAGAGGCAAGGTGCATCTTTCAGAGCATCTTTTATTCATCATTATGCCCCCATGTTTCACATAGTGCTTGGCATATAACAGATACCTAATTAATATTTGCTAAAAGAATGCAAACTGCCGTTCCAAGCGGCAAACCATAAAACTGATTCTGAGTGATGCTTCTTGGTGTTTAAAATTAGACTGAATCAATAAAGCAATGGCTCTAGATGCACAATGCAAGGTGATATACACCTTTACAGTTTCAGGACTTGACAGAAAAGAAGGTTGTGTCTAGTGTAGTGGAAATGAATGTAACAATCGCCAAACCAGCTTGTGTCTTGGTTTCTACTTGTGCATTTGGCACAGCCAGATCTGCTAGGCCTGATAAAATGCCAATATCTGAGTGGAAAATGAGAGGGTTCTATTTCAGGGAGTTTAGCAGGTGAACCAGAGCTGGGGCGGGGGGAAGTACATAGTACAATGAGTAGGAAGCAGAGAGAGCAACTTAGCTGGAACCAATGAAGAGGATGGATAAATATCTACTTAAACTCAGCTCTTATTTCCCATTTTTCAATGTACCTCTACCTGTATTCCATTACACTTACCTCTCTTTTAACTCTCCCATTTAAAGTTCCTTTCCTTAGGTGTAACCATAAATTACTACCCTATTTGGGACATACAAATTAAGAGATTCAATAACTGAGTCTTAACTTTTCTTGAGTTTTACTTGCATAATCTATGTGGCTGACCAGAATGTTAAGGAAGCACTAATGCCACATGAGAATTCTTTAATCTAGACCAGTTCATGCCAACATCCAGCTATCCTCTCTATGGCACCTCCAACTTGTTAATCTTTGCAATGTGTGTCCCATCTAGTGGGATGAACACTGGGGACTGAGGACATTGAAAAGGTAAAATTTTCTTAAGTGCCATTAAAACTTTGTGGGTGATTCCAAAACTATTGAATTTCTGAGAACACATTATAAACTGATTTTAGTAACTGCATACTTTTTTTTTTTTTTTTTTTGCAGTTTTTGGCCGGGGCTGGGTTTGAACCCACCACCTCGGGTATATGGGGCCAGCGCCCTACTTCTTTGAGCCACAGGTGCCGCCCAGTAACTGCATACTTTCAAAAAGGATTTAAGGCAACTCACAGTAAAAACTTCAGTACATTTAGTAAGCCTGAACATTTAACCAGACAGACACAAAAAACAAGTTAAAGACAGATGCAAGAAAAAAGAATTCTTAAACTGATGATAAAATCACACACACATACACAGAGAGACACACAATATTTAAACTCTGCAGAGGCAATAGAACACAAAACTTGGTCCACAAGGCAGACCAAAGGGAAAATGCAATAGTGTTTTTTGTCTCTAACTGAAGAGAACATACCAATTCTTCAGAAACAATAAACAGGCCTGACCAAAAAACAAAGGAAGTCAGAAGTCAATTGCATATTAAAAATCTTTTGTGCGTGAAATGGCTTACATTATCCTATTTAATTGTGACCTCAACTCTACAAACTAGATGTTATTAATTTGATTATACAGAAGAAGAAAACAAATCTCAGAAAAGTTAAGTAACTTGACCAAAGTCACAATAAGCGAATGATGGAGCTAGTACTTCGGTTCACGCCTGTCTGATTCCATAGCTCATAGAACACACTCAAAGAAGTGGAAAAGCCCATCTCTATTTCATCTCAGTCTTACAACTCACAACATGCACACACACACACATATGCAATTTTCTCTTCTATAACCAGGCTTTACTCAGAGATGCTTCAGGGATGATGCCAGAAATAATAGCTCCAAGCTCACTACTCTCATTCCAACTACTGCAATGGTAGCAGTATCTCCCTTATTCATGTATATATAAAATGTCTTCTTGTACTTGTTATATTTATGTCTTAAGAGAAAGATGAGCATATCTAATTTGTGACTTGGTGTAAAGCTCTACACATCTCTGTGTGTATGGGGTAACTTGTTAGTTATTCAAAGACCACAACAATGGACTTCACAGTGAAGTAAGTTGTAAGTAGAGACCAGTAAACGGGGGTATTTTCTCTTATGTATCCCTCATTTAGGAAAATAGTATCCAAACTTAGCTCAGTTCCATTTGACATTACTTGCCAAAAAATTCAATGCAATGGGTTAAACAGTAGAAAAGACCAGTGACCCAAAGAGTTGGTTTCATGGAAGAAGATGAGTTGATAGAGGGTCCTAACAAAGAGTAGGGGAAAAAACCTTCAACTCCCAGAGACAGAAATATGCAAATGCTGTAAGTTACCATATTGGAGAGGTCCTCAGTCCAAGCAGAGAATCTGCCAGGAGTCCAGTCATGTAGGCCAACCTTAAAAATTACAGTTGACAGGAGAGACTGCGATGAGTTGGGCCCAGGAACTCATAACAGAGGGAGGTTCATTTCTTTCAGACATGAGCCAGGTAGTATAGACGCTTTAAGATGAAAGTCTGAGTCCGTACAATATCAGGGAGCTGCATGAGTAGTTTCTGACAATTGGCACATTATTTACTGATAACTTATTGAAATTATGGCTATTTTCAATATTGTGAAGGTTCTCATTCTATGGTAAAGAAATACAGATGGGTGAAGTGACTTGCACAAGAGTCAACCTGTGGCAAATTCAAAACCAGAATTCAATTTTATTGACTTTCTTCTAAAGCACTCTCTACCCATTTTTGCAGATGATTATATACAAGGGCAAAAGTTTTGCCTGCTGTGCCACAGGTCTCTTACTGATCCTTTCATATTATATCACAGTCAGCCTGACCAATTTCACCACACAGTTGTCCTACAGAAGCAGGATCCTTGTAGCTTCCCAAATATTTAAAATAGTGATAATTGTAAGTTCACGCAAACACGATTTAATTTGAAGTTTCTCTATGGCCAAATACATTTGAATTGCTTTACAAACAATCCGTGATTACTCTTAGTTATACTGGACAGCATACCAAGGTTGATCCAAAGAATATAAAAAAATCCCCAAATTGCATTATTGCCCTATAAATTGCACTATCTAATGTTCCTTCTCTCCATCCCAAAGCAAATTTAAATGGGTCTACTGGTACTGGCATGGCAAAGTCAACATAAAAATTAAAATCTACATAAAACACCCAAAATAGCAAGACACGGAGAAGCAAGAGCTGAGTGCCTTTGATCCATTGTACACTGAAAATTTTATAAAAATAACATAAAATGTCATTCAATTCAAATTGAGTTGCAGTTGTCACAAGCTATTGTTTAATCTATTTGCCAGGTTTTAAATTAGCCCCTGACTAGATTGTCAAAACAGAAGCTCCTTAGAAACTTATGCATGCACTGTAAACTCTGGTGCAATTTCCATTTCTGAATATTGAACTACACTTTTAAACTATGTTTGCTCTTCTCCTTTCCTCTCCCTATTTTCAGTACTTATCAAAATATTTAGTATTAATAATGTGCATATGAAATATACGTATTCCAAATACTGCTAACTAAGAGCACTCTCTGCTATGACATTTACAAATACCATGGCTATTTCAGGATCAACATTTCTACTAATTATAACTAAGATGTCTACCAGAGATGGCAATCTAAATTGACTGGAGATTCCTTCAAAAGGTTGATTGTCTTTCTAGTTGTACCGCCTCTCATTAGTTATGTCTTATTAATTGTCACATTGCATTATATCTGTGCCCAGTATGATACCACATAACATAATGCAGGGAAAGAGAAGCAGTGTGAAAAGTAGGCATTACATTTTAATGAGGCAGATTGTGTGGAGTCTGAATGCCTGCAGTTAATTCAGAGAACAAGTATTTGAGTTGAAAATTCTGACATGTTTAGCAAACCAAGTATTCATTAAAGTAGGCGAGGTAGAGCACTGGAGGAACTCCTGTATGACAATAACTACACTTGCAGTGCTGTGAGCAAGAAATAGACTGTATTTCAGGTTAAGGTACCCAGTGCTCTGGTAGTATGAAACTCTTTATTTTTTTCCTTCAGGTCCTAAAGGGTTTCCCAGAATGCTTACAAGCTGACATTTGTCTACATCTCAACCAGACTTTGCTGCAAAATTGCAAAGCCTTTCGGGGGGCAAGTAAAGGTTGCCTTAGAGCTTTGGCAATGAAGTTCAAGACCACCCATGCACCTCCAGGAGACACCCTGGTTCACTGTGGGGATGTCCTCACTGCTCTTTATTTCTTATCCAGAGGCTCCATCGAAATTCTGAAAGATGACATTGTGGTGGCTATTCTGGGTGAGTATTTTATAACTGAATTATGATAGATTCAGTTATGACCTCTTGCAGTACATAGTTTAAAATGATAGTGGAAAAGATCTGTTTATTTACGATGACTATTTAAGACTGGTGGGTAATTTGAAAGCTTTACTTAAAAATCAATTCAAATCGAATTCACCTTGCAAAAATATGTTTTCTTGACTGTCCAACTTTTTCTCTGATGTGTAAATGTTTCCATTATTCTCCTCAATTCTTAGCCACTTAGACATTGGAGGCCGAATATATGGAAATAGTCAGTATTCTCTTTTTTTATGCTAGAAGCTCTTAGCTTCGCCAGGCACAGTGGCTCACACCTGTAATCCTAGCACTCTGGGAGGCCAAGGTGGGAGGATTGCTTATGCTCAAGAGTTTGAGACTAGCCTAAGCAAGAGGGAGACCCGGTCTCTACTGAAAATAGAAAAATTAGCCAGATGTCATGGCAGGTACCATGACATGGCATGGCATTCTCTCTCCAGCTACTAAGAGAGACTGAAGCAAGAGAATTGCTTGAGCCCAAGAGTTTGAGGTTGCTGTGAGCTACAATGATGCTACAACACTCTACTCAGGGCAATAGAGTGAAATTTTGTCAGAAAGAAAGAAAGAGAGAAAGGGAGAAAGGGAGGAGGGGAGAAGGGAAGAAAGGAAGAAATGGAGGGAAGGGGGAGGGAGAGAAGGAGGGAGGGAAGGAAGGAAGGAAAAAAGAAGCTCTTAGCTTCATGTTTGACCCCTTAACACCTTAAAATAAAATATATATGCGATGGACATACTTGCTAGTGTGTACCAATTCTCTGTCAAGAGCTGGGTTTCTGTTTAGATGAATTTTATTTATTCACGCACACTTTTACCTGCTATATCCCATTAAATGGAATTATATGATTCCTTGCCCAGGCAGTATAGACCTATGAATGTAACAAACAGGAATAGAGGTAAATTAGCAATAAATTCATTGGGTTTGGGTGCAAAAGAAAGCCTATGTTTAATCTGTCCCTTCAAAATAAATGTAGGCCAAGTGAAGTTGTAGGATTTCTTTGGGATGGTAGCACAGCAGAACAGAACAAGGGAACAGTCAGTTCTCCTCTCCTTCCACCTAGCTGAGAGGTTTAAGCTTCACTCTCCCCACAGTAACAGCTACTCCCTGAATCTATGAAACTTTTGCTTTTTTCTCTGTGGGTCAACTCCAGCTCCACTAAAATAATGAGTATGTAATTAAATCATTTTCTGTGTGTCAACTTTTTTTTTTTGAGACAGAGCCTCAAGCTATCCCCCTGGGTAGAGTGCCGTGGCATCACAACTCACAGCAACCTCCAACTCCTGGGCTCAGGCGAGTCTCCTGCCTCCGCATCTCCAGTAGCTGGGACCACAGGCACCCGCCACAATGCCCGGCCATTTTTTTTTTTTTTTTTTTTTGGTTGCAGCCATCATTGTTGTTTGGCAGGCCCAGGCTGGATTCGAACCCACCACCTTAGGTGTATGTGGGTGGTGCCTTAGTCACTTGAGCCACAGGCGCCAAGCCTGTCGACTTTTGAGGTTCATACATACGACTGTTATCTCCAAAAGGACAGGGTTGGTGTCTGTTTTTCTAGCTGTATGTCAAACCAGTGTATGGCATAGCACAGAACCCAAACATGTGAATGGAAGGTTTTGAATTATTTCCTATAAATTTTGAAAGTTTATTATGATTATATTTTCTTTTAAAATCCCCCCAAATTGATCAAGGTGTATATTTTAGTTTTCAATTCAATAAGTGAAGAATAAACACATATTCTAAATTACTTGAAGCCCACACAACCCATTACTTCTTGGCCTCTTGGCTAAGATCAAGTGTGTGAAGACCACACAATCCAGTTAGGTTGTAGATTTGTGCTTGACAGTTTGCCCTGATACATTGCCAAAAAAGGGACATGCTTCGTGGCCTTCCTGATCTTCAAGGCGGGTAGTCCTAGCTTCTAGAAGGAAGGCAATGAGCCTTCGTGGCTTCTAAAAAAATCATTTTAGAGCATTTGCTCTACACACGGACTAGCATACTCCTTGCTCACTTATAGTCACGTAAACTAATTAAAATACAAAGCCCATGCTTAATTTAATCCAGAGCTTTTTCTTTTAAATACAGTAGAACCTTCATAATTGACCACTTCCCTACACTGACCTAATTTTCATAGACTGGATATGAACCACATGTCCGTGTCACATATCAGTACTGTAGGCCTAGTTCCTTATGTTAACAGCCTCTATATGTTCACTGGTTGATTACAATCCCTTGGGTGGTCACAGAGGTTCTACTGTGTGTGTGTGTATAAATATAGAACCTTCTATCCGTATAAAATTCAATATGAAGCATTTCAAGAGATCTTCTTTTTCTCTCTCTATTTCTGTGCATGTCAGCCCCCTAAATCCCTCACACATTATGATTACTTGTTCTATTTTCGAAAGACTGGTAAGTATGTATTTAAAATATAATTAATGTACCCTCTCCAATTTTTATTATACAGCTAAAATATAGTATTTTATATCTCTCCATTTATTCTTATTTAAAACAGAAACAATGCAGCCTTTATTTTATTAATTTAAGTTTTATTGTTTCAGATACATTAAGTTGTCTGCCAAAAATTAAAATAACACATGCAGGAAGTGTTTTCTAAATTGGAAAAGAACCTTCAGGATAGATGTGAGAGTAGTATTTTATACTGCCTTTGACAATCATTAAAAGTTGTATCATCAGGTAATTCATCTGTATTTATTAAGTACATATACCACAGGTACAATCTGTAAGTGCTTTGATGATCAGAAACAAAAAAAAATCTAAGTGGTCATGACCTTCAGGGAAAATACAGGGAGGAGATTAGACATGCAGCCTAGGGTGTGTGAGGGCTTTGACTCTGGAGTCAGCATGCACAGGATTCAAGCCTGGCTATTCTCTCCCCACTTCCACTTTACTCAGTGAAGGAGGTAACCTTGGCCTAATCAGTTCCCTCTTTAATCCTCTTTCTGAATCATAAAATTGGGATAATAATTGACAATTCTTTCATGAAGTTATTTTAGGGATAAAATGATGCACCTAAGCGTTAAACATAGAGCCTGACACCGCTCAGTCCTCAATGAACATTTGTGTTGCTGTTGTCATTCTTATCCGGATCGTTGAACAAGACCTTGAAAAGCAGATGGCGTGTGGCTGGGCAGTGGTTTGGGGAGGGCCCATCAGAAGGCAGACACTGAACAAATTCCCTGTTTTGTAGGAAAACAAGGATGACAAATTTGTTATATGGACAAACGTCTATATAACAAAAAACATGACTACATTATGTTGAGAAAATATATTAATTAAACTATAGGACAAATTCATTAAGGGCAAATTCAAAAGTAGTTATCAAAGGACACAAGATGTGTTCAAATTGCTCCACCAAGTCTCTCAATATTAAAAAAAGCTCTACCATAACCCATTGCCAGGCATCACCTCCGGAGAATATCCTGAGACAGAAAGATCACGAATCTGATTCACTTTCCCATATTCTTAGACTGACAAACTCAGAGCACACCTACCTGAAAGTACCTTTAAAATACTCAATGGCAAGACCCTTTCCTGTCGCAGCGGGACGCACCAGACTGTAGATATGTTTGCTCCAGTCTTGATGCTTAGCAAATAACCTAAACAAAAAAATGAAAAAGATTACACCAGGACCAGTACCTTTAGAAGCAAAGTTCTATTCAACAAGTTCGGGCTGGGGCAGTCAACCTACCTGCTAGAACTTTTCTGCCCAAGTAAGTGTTGGTTTCATTTGAAGTCTTTGGTTCAAAGATTGGTCAACTAATGAGTGGCCCCCTTCTACTTTTAGAAGGAAAACATTAAGTTTCGAATCTGTTTCCTCCCCCCCATTTCTTTTCTTTTTTTTTTTTCTTTACTTTTTTCTCTTCTTTAGGAAAAAATGATATATTTGGAGAAATGGTTCATCTTTATGCCAAACCTGGAAAATCTAATGCAGATGTCAGAGCTCTCACATACTGTGACTTGCACAAGATTCAGAGGGAAGACTTGCTAGAGGTTTTGGATATGTATCCTGAGTTTTCTGATCACTTTCTAACAAACCTAGAGTTGACTTTCAACCTAAGGCACGAAAGTGCAAAGGTATATGCTATTTGCTTATTTTTGTATTTCTGACATTTTATTTTACTCTTATATTGCACATATACGTCTAAAAAATCAAGAAAAATACTTTAGCAAACCTTTACCATTTCTGTATATTTGAAAAGGGCAGGTAAATATTTACATGTTTAAATTATAGGAAAGAAATTCAGCTTAATTACTTTCAAATATGTTAAATAATTTTAAATAGATCAGTTACGTTTCAGATTCTAAGGACCCTTACGTGACATAGTTGATTTTACATAACTGTGGTTTATATTGTGCCAATTATTTGTCAGAAATGGGTGATTTTATGCCATTTAAAATCCCTTAAAAGAATTTCCTTTATACAAAGATGAAAATACTCTCAAGGCTATTATTTATAATACACATTAGGTATCAATGTCTTATCAACAATAATGAAAAATGAACCCCCTTCAAGTTGAGGCCCCTATTTAATACATATGATTTCCAAATCACAGAATTGTAAATTATCAGGTTTTACAGCAGATTCAACATTTATGCTGTAGAATGAATAATATGTGGTCTATTAGTAATAATATTTTAAATAATTCTACATATATGTTAACTTAGAATGAATTTTGAGAGTGTGGCCCTGTACCTCTCACTCTTTTCCACTGTGAAAATGTGTCTTTATGACTCACTACTACTGTGTGGATAGAGAATTTGTGTTTCTAGCCCAAAATTTACTACCAAGGTAATCCTTCTCCATTTCCTCCCCCAAACCCCAAAGTCTACAAATACCACTCCAAGTCTTCATAATTTTTAATCATAAATCAAATATTAGGTATTTGATACTTGCCAGTGTATTTATATGCTAATATATTCTTTGGAAAAAAGACCCCAAGTCAAGAGGTAGGCAAAAGGTTTAATATTCCCTGGAGTTGTTGTCATTCCCAGGCACTGTGAGAGAAAGGGAAATTTTTAAGATCACTGGGGTGCCGTTTAATATCCTGATGCCCCAGCTCAGATAAGCGTTTCTTTACAAAACACGGGAAAGTGACAAAGTATTTAGAGGGTTTCAAAGGTTCAACTATTTAGAGTATGCTTTTTTTTTTTATAATGGGTTTAATTCAGTAATTTCTCACCATCCCAGTTTTATGTCAGCAATCTCATTCTGATTTTGCTTTTAAAAAAACAGGTATCTACCACAGGTAATTTCCTTACATAAAAGTTTAGTACATACCCAAATAAACGAAACTGGAACTTCCATTTTTATTTATGAGATTGATAATGTGCGATCTGAGAGGAAGGCAGGGGGAGCTAGAAACGAACTGTTTTAGGGTTCAAAGCAGAATGTTTATTGATTTCAACCTTATACTTATTGTGGGGAAATGTAACTTTGTAATCATTACCTTATCACTTAAGAATCATCGCTAATTATGATTAGTGTACACAATTTTCTCTGTAGTAAAACAGATGTTACAAAGTTGCTGCATTTGGCCCTTGAACAATGTAGAGGTTAAGGGAACTGACCTCTGCACAGTCAATAATGTACATATAATTTTTGACTCACCAAAAGCTTAACTACTATTAGTCTACTATTGAATGGAAGCCCTACTGGTAACAAACAGTTGATTAACACAGGTTTTGAAGGTTTTACATGTTATATGTTGTATTCTTGTAGTAAAGTAACCTAGAGAAAAAAATATGTTATTAGGAAATCTAAGAAAGAGAAACTCTACTTACCATTCATTAAGTGGACGTAGATCATTGTAAAGGTCTTTCCTGAGGAACAAGCAGAGAAAAAGGAGGAAGAGTTGGGTGCGTCTTGCTGTCTTAGGCAGAAGAAAATTTGCAGATAAGTGGACTCAACCTAGCACAGATCAATCTTGTGTTGTTCAAAAGTCAACTCTTTTATTTTTATTTTAACTTTGCCAAGCTACATAAAACACATGCCTCATAAAGGAATATTTTGTCTCTAAATGATGACATCAAACATTTTAATAAGTGATTTCTAGAACCATGATTTCCCCATCAGATGGTGAAACTACTAGAATTATCCTATCAGACTACTTTATAATTTAGAGACAACCATTAAGCAAAGTATTTTAAGCTGTTCTCCTGCAATCTAATAATTGAGTCACAAGGTGGTTCAAATGATACGAATAGTAAGTAGTTTACTGGTAGCACATTGTATTCAAATTGGGTAATCTTCCATTTTATTTTTATCTTACATTAACAAAGGCTGATCTCTTACTACGATCACAGTCCATGAATGATTCTGAAGGAGACAACTGTAAACTACGAAGAAGGAAATTGTCATTTGAAAGTGAAGGAGAGAGAGGTAATTCATTCCATTTCTAGGGTTTAAATGTAGAGCATAAGTTCAGTCTGAAATACTCCAACCACTCTGGGAGGCTGAGGCAGGTGGATTGCCTGAGCTCACGAGTTCGAGACCAGACTGAGCAAGAGCAAGACCTCGTCTCTAAATATAGCCGGGCATCAAGGAGGGCACCTGTGGTCCCAGCTACTGGGGAGACTGAGGCAAGAGAATTGCTTGAGCCCAAGAGTTTGAGGTTCCTGAGACCTATGAAGTCGTGGTATTCTACAGAAGGTGATAAGTGAGACTCTGTCTAAATAAATAAATAAATGTAGATCATGTGATTATTAGGTCTTCTAATTTAAAAACTCATATTCGTGATTTCAAAAGTAAATTTCATTCAGGCTCTAGGAGGACTTTCTACTACTTTTTCCAGTAGCTAATAATCTGGTCTCTGGCTTCTCACTGATAGTTTAACAGCGTCATTCAACTAAGCAATCTGATATCTACAAGGACTTCATAGATAAAGAGAGTGGATTAGTTTTTAAAAAGAGACCAGTTAATAACAGTTGACTGAGTATACCTGAGATTCCTAAGCAGAGTATTCTTAAAGAAGGACTCTCATTTCAAGTCAAGAGCTCAGTTCCCTCACATAGCTCACATGCACAGAGGAAGGCCATGTTAGTCCTCTTCATTTTCAAACGCTGGGGTACTTTCTACTTCTTACCCTCTCTGGGTTTCTCTGCCCCTTTCTACTTCTTACCCTCTCTGGGTTTTTTACAAATCCTGTTCTTTGTATTTTACTTATATATTCAACAAATATTGATTTAACAGTTCATATTTTTAAAGTGCTACTCAATATTCTGCGAAATAAATTGCGCAAAACAGCTCTCCTCTTCCCTGGGGAGGGAGATGGACACACCCTCAGATAGCAGGTGCCGTAACAAAAATAACACTCCTTAGTGGGAAACCAGATGCAGGTGAGCGTAATTGTGCCTGAGCAGGTGGGAGAAGGCCTTCCCAGGAAGCCTCCACTCTTGCCCAGTGCTGATCCATGTTATTCAGCCTCCTAGCAGCATCTTTCACCAAGAACCAACTCTCCTATTTTTCTTGAATGTTCTTTTCTTGGCAACTGTGACATTTTGCTCTTCCTGTTTTTCTCCTACTCCCACTAATTCCCTGAAGATAATTTCAGGATCATTATCGTCTATGCCAGTTTTAGTTTAGAGTTTCTCAAGGCATCATCCTAGGCCCTCTTCTGATTCTATATCATACTCTTCCCCTAAGTGATTCACATATCCTCACCTAGGAGACATACATATCTATGTTTTAATCCCAGTCCATCTGAGCTTTAATTCCACATATCCAAATGCCTAGGTCTACTTGAAATCTCAAAGGCAGCTTAAACTCATGGAAGACAGGATGCTCCCTGGAAACCTGTCTCCCCTTCAGTTTCCATGCCTCTGCATATCATGCCCCCCAATCCAGGTATCCAGAAGTCAACCTCCTACAAAGATCTCCAGCAACTCTGGCAACAAGTCCTGATATCACCACCTCCAATACATCTCCATCTATTCCTCAAACTAAGTCTCCTGTGGTTTGCTTTTCATCTGTCCTTACCTGCAATTCTGGACCAAGCTACCCTAATCTGCCCTCTGGAATACAGAAACAGCCTTCCAACTCACCTTTCCACGTGCAGCTTGCCCCTCTCTTATCTATTTCACGCTGGACCAGTGGAGATTTTTTTTTCCTAAATGCCGTTACTCACATATTTAAAGCCCTCTAAGGACTTCCAGTCCCCCAAACCTAGCCCTTCGTTTTATACCACCTTTCCCTTAACTAACCCCGTTAGCTCCTCTCCTTCCCCTGTCAGCATTTCCTCTGCAGCATTCACTCCAGTTGTACTTCTAGGTTTATTTGCATCATTATTTAATCAGTGTCATGTACCTTGAGATCATAAACTCTGTAGAACTGGGAAATATTGGGTCCCCTGCAGCTTTATCACTTGCTGCATAGCAGGTGCTCAACGAGTATCTGTTGAACGAATGAGTGAAATAGAATTGGAGCATCTTCCTCCTGGATCTCTTCCTCCTTTTGCCTTCTGAATTCAAGTTCTTTTCTTGACTCTTCTCCTCTTCTCTATGAATCCTCTCCCTAGGGGAAATCATCTGGCATTATTTTGCTCTACACTGCAAGTGAACTAAACTGCCCTCTCTTCGGAAACAATGTAAATTATTTCTGTTTTGGCTTATATCATTTTCTTAGTTAGAATTTGCCTCCCTGTCCTCAAACACACAACACACACACACACACACACACGCCCCTCACACCACTGTTTTATCCACTAAAATTACATTTCTTATTCAAGGTCAATTTCCAATGATATATTCAACATAAACTATTTCTTGATCCCAAATGTTAATGTTCTTTCTCTTACGAATTATCAAAACACTTACTTCTTATGTTATTGTCAAAATCGTCCCTGTATAGTGGGTACTAGTATATTTTTCCTTTTTCTCTTACAAACTGTGGATTCCTTTAAGAAACAATTTTGATAAATACTTGTTGAATTGGGCAAATGATTGAATTCTCTAACCAATTGCAGAACAATAAACCAATCATAGACAATTGATAATTTTTTTTCTACAATGGCTTTCATTATTCTCTTTTTCTAAAAGCAGAACCACTGCCATTCTGCTGTTCTTCCCCAGAGTTAATCTAAGTCCCCAAATCCTGATGTTAATCTCTTATTTTTATCTCACTGGAAATGAAGAACAGGTTAACAATGTAGTCTATATAGAAATGTCCTCCATACAGTTAAAGATTTATTAAGCCTTTCAGTCTTATTCATTTTCCTCATTCTTAAGATAATCTAATGTTTTTATCTCCTGATAAGAACTTCAGAGCATGTCACAATTTATCCTGTACTCATGCAACTAGAGATTTCTGTTGATTTCGAATATGTTTCCTTTAATCACAGGCTTAGCCTATGAGACCAATTTTATATAAAGTATAGATGTTAAAGGATTTTCCTGCCTGTGGTTTTTGAAGTTTCCTGATGTGCCAGTGAGTTACTATGAGTTGCTCCATGTGAAACACAATGAACTGCAGTTAGCCGGAGCCTAAGAGCCTTTTCCAAAGTCTTTAGGATTTCCAGCATGTTTCAAGCAAGTAAAATTTGCTGAAAGCAATTTACTCCCCATCACTCCATTCTAATGCTCTTAAGGTGACCATTCATTCTATAGTTCTTGATATAGAATTAACATCTAGGAGAAAAACACATGCAAGTATAAAGAATAGAACTTACAAGGGATCAATGATGCTACATATGTGGATATATGAAATGAATCTTCCTGCAAAGTGCGCTATTTATTTTAGGGTTAGTGTACTGCTTATAAGAAAGGAAACCTTGAAGGAGACATCCACAGGGCTGATGTCTGTGGATCAGTCAGCAGAGGCCTCAGGAAGCAGAGGGAAGACCATGTGGCTGGCACTGGAGGCAGACAGAAGTTGAGTCGTGCAGTGCCACTCACCGCCCACTCAACAGGACACTGGAGCTTTTCAGGCTTCAGCCATCAGCTGCCTGACACCCTCTTTCCACTCAGGCCTACCACAGGGTGCTAAAGAGCTCACATTCAAAAAGATATATTTTAAAAAGAAGTGACCTGTAGAAACTCTAGCAAGCTGATTTGAACAAAACAGATACTTAAACATATTTGCATTTGTTTATAAAGGTAGTTTGTTCTCAGGAACTTTACTTTTCTTTTTTAAGGAAAAAAACATTTTTCCAGGGGAGAGTGTGTACAAATTTGAGGACACTTTATGTATTTTGAAGGCATCTGCAAGCTGACTTTTCTCTTTCCTTCTCAAGTTCTATCATGGAGGTGCCCGGGACTTCCCAGTATGACTAGGATCATCGTAGGAACAGGTGTCACAGGTCTGGAGCTGAAAGTAAGATGTACCTGTGACAGAAAGTGAGGAATGATAATGATGCTTCTGCGACCTAGTCAGTGGCCACAGCATTATTAAGATGGCTAGTCAAAATAGGAGGAAATGAGGAAAATTCTGGAAAATAGTTTCTACTTCAATGATCTTCAAAGTTGCATTGGGCTTATCTCAGTATATTGTACCAAAATGATCTATTGGGTCATGGTAATAATAATTCTTTTAAAATTGCATGTTGTGTATATTTTATAATAGATGGAATATGTTAGTAAAAGGGCATATATAACGACACAGGTGATACACGTATGTATATATACTCTATAGATTATAAAATACGTAGATATATGTGTACATATCTACGTGTGCCATCGTGCACATATACACGGATTGGTATTTTTACTGATAGAGCTTGCCTGATCAAATATTTGGAGTATTCTGCTCAAGTCTTTCTAAGGTCAGAAAATACAGTATCAAAGTAGTTGGGCTGCCTAGAGGGCCAGTGATTTTTTGGCACCGAATAATCCAATGAGGGCAGCAATGTAGCAGACCAAAACAATCACCCGTTGATTTGGTGCCCACTGTTACTGAGAACCCACTGTGTGCTAAATGTTCCTACAATTTTTTTTAATCTTTATTTCTACTTCACTTTTGGAAAGTTTGTCTCTACTTTTTAGAGAAAACTCTTCTTTGTCAATGAGTAAACAGAGATTCCTTATAAATCGTAGTTAGTGTCTACATATCTATCCTCTTCAACTTTTGTAACAGTTTCTAGATAATTTATCAGGAAGAATCAAGATTTCTACCAAACTCTACATAAATTAGTTTTGCTTTTTCGATGAGAAGAAAAAAAGAGAATTTGGAAAAGGGAACTTTTTACTCTTAATTGGTTTTATTGCTAAAAGTTGCTCAAATATTGTGAAATATCATGACATGGACTGCTGGTGTTATACGTTTTAAGAGAAATCCCTCAGTATATATCTGGTATTTTTTTTAACTATTAAAGAGGTCACCTGAGGTCACAAGTGAAGAAAGTTTCCCCAAAGCACAGATATGGCAGCTTTCTTTGACCCTTATTCCTCATCAGACCTCTAGTGTCTAAACTACCTGTTCCAACCATCCCTTCTCTACATTTTTTCCCATTCTTTTTACAAAAACGTAAAATTCAAGACCAAAGTAGTCCAGTAGCCTGAATTAATTAGTGTTTGGAAAATTCACTTGGTTAGAAAGAAAACAGATGTTCTTAGCAAAATGGACATTGACCTGAAAGTTAAAGAATGCTGAGCTTGTCCTTCCTAATCTAGAAATATTTTTACTCTCTTAATTCTAGCACATAGAAAACAATTCTCAGAGCTCAGAAAACCCTATTACTATTGGCAAAAGATTTTGATAATAAACTCCATTCTAAAGAAAAAAAAAACTGCCAAGCACAAAAATTTAAAAAAATAAATAAATACAAGGGAAAAAAATAAAAACTGTTAATGGTGTGCCTGTACCAACTAAATGGATGGAAATAAAGAACATTCAGCATCTTTTTTCTACTGGGTTTAGATGGTTCTGTACATATGATAACAAATAAGACATATATACATCCTAAGACTAGGGAAGAGAAAGAGATATATACATCCTCAGAGAAGGGAAGAGAAACTGAAATTTACTCATTTCTCTAGCCATAAATTTTTATTACAATGAGATTTTTCTATATATATTTAACTAGAAAAATCCAGTGTTCTAGAAAATAAGGCAAAAGAGTCTGGGGCTCATGATAAACTTGCATTTCAAACATTATCCCTGTGTAATATTGGTTTAGTGGTTTTGCATTGCTTTCCAAAGGATAGATACACGCACTGGCAAACTTACTTTTATAAAATAACTATTCGATTCTAATTTTATTAAATTAATTCTTTAAATATGTAGATGTTATATTTTGGTATTTCTTTAGAATATCTTCCCCAGGAACACATCTGATTAGCTCTTTCTTGTCCATTTTAGTGGTATGTATAATTAAAAATAAAAGTTGCAGATATGTATGGTTTACCATATTTAAATAGTGAAATGATTACCACAATTAAGCTAATGAACATACCTCTTCACCTTACACAGTTAATTTTGTGTGTGTATATGTGTAGACAACAGTTAATATTTACTTTCTTAACAATTTTCAAGTATTATGCCATCAAACTGTCCAGAATTTATTCATTCTGCATATACGAAACTTTGTATTCTTTGATCAATATTTCCCAAAATTTACCTGTTTTTTATTTTAATTCTAAAGACATTCAATCTTATATTTTTATAGAAAAATAACCACTTAGTCCCCATTCAATATCCTTTAAAGCTACAGAGGACCTTAGGTACTTGATCTTAAATGAAGAAATTTATTTTAAGACTCCCATTTTCCAAGACATCTTACTGGAAATTACCAAGCTTATCTCTAAATTGTCACCAGTGGGAAATCTATAACTCTTAACGCTGAGAGAGCACCTTTAAATGACTCTCTCAAACCGAAGGTTATGTCTCCCTGTTGAGTCTGACAAATAAAAATGATAATTAATTTGAAAAGAACACTCCATGAAAGATAGAGAGAGCACAAATATTTGCTCCAAGTTTTTTGAAGTGGAAAGATTTATATTATCATTCCTAAGTTGAATGGGTCAGTTAATCCATCAGTACACTTTTACTCTATGCCCTTGAATTTATTCTGAACCCAGAGACAAACCACAAATGCTTTAAAATCACATCCTATGAGAAAAGGGAGGAGATAAACAGGCCAAATGTCCTCTTCGTAAAATGATGACACAAGTGGTTATTCAGTCTCACTTTCGGTGAAGGGAAAAATGTAAAACTCCCTCAGATTCCTGCCCTCAGAAAATTATTTCTATGTAGAATATAAATAGCACTAAGAAAAAGATAGTACCTAATACTATTTAATTTCTACCAAATAATTCAGTTTAACTGGAAGGAGGCAAAAAATGGAACAGTCCATCAAAATTTAGAAGTACCTGGAGGCTAATAAAGCACTTCAGCTGCCCAATTTCATTGTAGGTTTTACATCAACACTTCAGCCAATTTCCAGTCAAAACCCGAACACTTTCCATTTTCCATCCACAAATAGATTGTCATTTCAACTTTCATTTTATATGGCAGAAAAATGAAGCTTTAATTTATCTAACATGGACTAGAAAAATGTTTCAGTGGGGCCGAATCATACAATCAAGGTGATAGTGCCATGGCAGCAAACACAGAAATAAAGTTGAGTTTTTCTCCTTATAAATTGAAAAAAATTAATAATACCAAAGTTTTTCTTCTTCATTTACCTGATTCTGTTTTACTTCAAATTTTTCCTAAAGAACTTATATCTTGGCTCGGCGCCTATAGCTCAACCAGCTAAGGCACCAGCCACGTACACCTAAGGTGGCGGGTTCAAATCCCCAGCCCGGACCCGCCAAACAACAATGACGGCTGCAACCAAAAAATAGCCGGGCGTTGTGGCGGGCGCCTGTGGTCCCAGCTACTTGGGAGGCGGAGGCAGGAGACTCGCTTGAGCCCAGGAGTTGGAGGTTGCTGTGAGCTGTAATGCCATAGCACTCTACCCAGGGGGACAGCTTGAGGCTCTGTCTCAAAAAAAAAAAAAAAAAAAAAAGAACTTATATCTTATATATAAGTAGAAATTTGCTCCATTTTACAAAAAACTGAATAATAGTGATTCCTTATTCAACAAATTTTGTGACTATTTGTCCTGAACGTAAATCATTTAAGTTATAATTCCACTTAGCACTTTATGTGAACTGATGAGTCTTATCCCTAAAGACTAAAAATCAAGCCATAAGTTAGTAAACCAAGACTGAGCCCCCTGAAGCAGTAGGTGGAGCAGAGCATTCTACCGTGTGTAAGGATTTAAAAATCTACAGAGAACCCCCAAGACCTTTCAAGTAAAGAGATAAAATAGTTTATTAATTTGTGTTGAGCCCCCATTGCAAGTCAGCATTACCCAGACTTACATTGAAGGAATGTGTATTTATAGTTAATTCAGTTAACAAATGATTCTGCTGGGAAAGACTCCATGAAAGTGTTTAAAAGAAAAGCAGCTGGAGGAAAACGAGAAGCCTGAGCTGATTTAAATCTCACCAGTACCCACCTTAGGGACTATAAAATGTTTGTTGAGGAGGAACAAACCAATGCGATTCACTAAGCAGATAAGAGGATAATTTAGAAAATGGAACTTATCATTTTTTTCATATTTACTGGCTTAAAATTTGTAACTATTATTTTTTCAGAAATAAAATGATAGGTTCAAAAGGTGAGACTACTTAGATTGAAATTTCAGAAGGCTATGGGGAGAAGAAGTTAAAGACAAAGGAGGTAAGGAAGAAGGAGAAGAATGAAGTTTAGAAGCTTAAGGAGGGCTGTGCCAACGACACTGAGGAGAAAACAGGTTTTATAAGAAGAACTGATCTAAATATCTATAACCAGTTAGATTAGCCATTGAATGGAGACGTGGAGGTGACACTGAGTCAACAGTGGTGTCTAGAATGCTGGGGATTGGAAAGTTCTGTGGTTTTCCCACGAATGATGAAATCACTGAGCAAATGTGAAATCTTCAAGAAAATAAATTAAGCAATCTGCTTTTGCTAGATTTAACTTTAATTGACAGAACACAAACTCTTCAATAACAATTTCACATACAGATGATTTTTAAACTCTATCTGTTTTTTTTTTACCTTGGGCTGCTTTCTGTCTTCTCATATTTTAAATTATGATTTTAAAAAATATAAAGGGAAGAAAATCTTTGTTGAATTCCTCTATGCCATATGGGAATTTTTAAAAAACAGTTGGAAGTTTCTCTGGAGTGGCCTTCAATCAGTTCATTTGGCCTTCTATAAATAAACAAGTAAGCACACCCAGGCGGAGAGTAGATCTGGGGACACTGTCTCCAACATTTCTCCAGAAAATGATATACCTTCTGGAGCTTCGCTGGTTAGTTATTAGCAGGAACCAGATGGAGAATTATACTGTCTCCCCAGGACACTAATAGAAACAAGTTCTGGGATTTGTCTCTTTGAGTTTTTCCTACTGAAATATGTTCTAACACAACCTTCAGGGCTGAAATTATCCTGACATTTCAGCATAAAACAGCCAATATGCACTACCAGCTTTAATGTAATTAGGTAAAGCCTACCTTAATTACCGGATTTAAGCTTTATATATTTTGTAATATGCTCCATGATCAAACTGCCTAGAATGTCAAGGCCATTACATGCATTATCAGTTGAAATTCATCCTGCCAGCCTGAACAACAAGGAGGCTTCCGATTTGGGCCTTTGCAACATGTAAATAGACACAACAGATGATAGGGCATGGAGGTTAAAAGCAAACAAATAATAAACTGCATGACGCTGATATTTTAAAATTGGGACACATTTTCCCTTGTCTTTTTAATTTCCCTAAAGAGAGCACAGATTCTACAAATATGAATGACTGTCAAGCACGTATAAATAAGTTCGGAAGTTGTCCTGCAGTTTTTCTCTGAGACATTATTACTATTGTAAATATTCTTTTCATTTTGAAATGTATAATTCATTTCATTAGAAACATGTAATAACTCTTGAATTAAAAAAAATTAGTGTCTAGCTACATCTTCAATAGGAAAGGTAACCTATATATAGCTACAGGATAATATGCACATAGTATTATAATATCCATACAGTCTTGCATTTGATTATTTGCTGTAAAATAACTTTTTTATAGATTTTGGCAAAGCAAACAGTACAAACGATCCAGAAGACTCTGCAGATACCATAAGACATTATCAGAGTTCCAAAAGACACTTTGAAGAGAAAAAAAGCAGATCATCATCTTTCATCTCCTCCATTGATGATGAACAGAAACCGCTCTTCTCAGGAATGGTGGATTCTTCTCCTGCAACAATGGGGAAAGCGTCGGGGCTCAATTTTGAAGAAACACTGCCCAACTCAGGAAGAATGCACATAGATAAAAGAAGTCACTCTTGCAAAGGTAATCAAGAATCAGGAATCAGGCAGGTTGTCACTCTTGAGTGCTAACTATAAAATACTGACTTACCACAAATTAAGAATCATAAACGGTTACATGTTAATCTAACCTTTTTCAATGTCATGAAATATCTGCAAATAGATCAGATATCAGATCCATTTACGAAGTGTTTGCACTATTGTGAAAGAAGCAGTTACTATTTCCAAATGATGATAGTGTGAGAGGTTCTTGTGGCTAACCAGACTTAACGTGATGCCAAGTAGAAAACGGTGGGAAAGTGCATAGTGACTCAGTGGGAAGAGAAACAGCAAGGATTCTAACCAAGGTAGCCAATCTATCTGTTATATGTGTCCATTGCACCCATTCCTTACCCCAACCCTACAGGGTTACGATAGGAATGGTCAATGCTATCACACTGCAATACATGCCAAAGAGAATTTCATTTTTCTAGGAATATGAGAAAAAGTGGAGAAATGCCCTGAAATACAGTATGTTCTTGATCTAATTCATTTATTGAACATCCCTACCAAAAAGAAAACACAAATGTATGGGTTTTATTGTATAAAATATGCATGAGTTGGCTAATAACCCTTGATTATATGTAGATATTATGCTAAAGGATAAAACTGTCACCTGAAAGAACCATTATTTTAGCATCTATAGATCAAGCCATTAAATAGTAGTAATAATAGGTGTGTGTGAGGCTGCTTGGGTGCCAAGCTCAGCCCTATCCCTTGCTCCCTTTAAGGCTTTGGGTAACTGACTCAACCAAACCCACTAAAACTCAGTTTGTGCATCTCTAAAATAAGAACAATATTGTCTCTTCAACTAGTAGGTTTGCGGTTATTAAACAAGATAATGTGTAAATTACTTACTCTGAAATAAAATCTCCACTCTATTTAATATTTTCTCATTAAGACTTTATTTTGCGGCTCGGCGCCTATAGCTCAACCGGCTAAGGCGCCAGCCACGTACACCTAAGGTGGCGGGTTCGAATCCCCAGCCCGGACCCGCCAAACAACAATGACGGCTGCAACCAAAAAATTGCCGGGCGTTGTGGCGGGCACCTGTGGTCCCAGCTACTTGGGAGGTGGAGGCAGGAGACTCGCTTGAGCCCAGGAGTTGGAGGTTGCTGTGAGCTGTAATGCCATGGCACTCTACCCAGGGGGACAGCTTGAGGCTCTGTCTCAAAAAAAAAAAAAAAAAAGACTTTATTTTGCAAAACTTTAATCATTTACTATAACCTGGATATATGAAAATGTAAAGATTAAGAAGGCATACCAAACATCAAAAGAATATAACAAAAACAAGGAAAGATAGATGCTCTTGGCCCAGCAGGATTGCAAAATTATGGCAGAGTATTCTAATATTACCCAGCACCATCACCATCTTTCCACAGGATCCTACTCAACAACAAGAGGTTTATTGAATCGAAGGTGTTTAAGCTTTATATTTTTCCAGAGTTGCTTTCCCTATCATGTAGAAACTTTTTCTGTGACCCCACATTGAAGTAAGCTAAGAATATATGAACTGTTCTCTGGACAATCTAAAATCTTGATGAAGTGAATGAAAATAGTACCTCATTTATCACAATGGAAGAATGGAATATTAAATGTGATTACCAAATGCCCCATTTTAGTTATTTATGAAAATGGATTCTGAGAAGTGCTAAAAATAGAAACAGGTTGTATCACGGAAATCAGAAGTTCTGAAGGCCTTGCTGTACCATCTCTACTGTCTCCAAAAGTCAGCAAAATGAAGGCCTGATTTAAAAAACAGAAAGTGCTGTTGTTGTTTTCCTCTTGAGTCTTAGAGTTTCAAGTGACAAGTTATTAAAAATGTATTTTAGGGATTTTATTTGACTTTATAATGACTCTCACTGACAATGAATTCTCATGCCTGTCATCATACATTTTACTTTGTCACTTCTTCCAATTATTTTTAATTAGCTATTTTTCATATACAGTAAAAAATCGTATTTTAACAATTTTAAGATCTATGAATTTTTAACTTTAAAAATGTACAAGTCAATCCCTATATAAATTAAAAAATTATCTTTAATGTATAGCCAAATACGCATGTCAATGGAATAAACATAAATGATGTCAAATAGCTTCAATCAGTGGAACATGTAATACCCTGTTTAATTAGTATCATTAACCAATGGATAATTTTAGAACTTCGTGCACTAAAAATTTCATTCCCTTTTGAAGACGAAGTACTGTGTAATGTTCAAGAACTTGAATAGCATTTAAGGTATAACTACAACTGCTGCTGTTTGAACTATTAATTCCCCACAAATTTTCGTGTCATCATCAATAGAAAATGTCACTCACTCATATTCCTGGCATTTTTATGCTGAATCCAACAGAGAAGCACATTTAGCTGAAAATAAAATGGAAAAAAAATTAAATGGACTCTAATCCTACTTAGATTGAGGTCAAAAGTTGACTCGAGGAAAATTGTGTATTCAGAGCAAAGTGAAAGTTTACTTTCTGCTCATCCATTTCCAGAAATGTGTCTTGCAACTATAGCAACATTTTCCAAGGCAACCAAGTGCAGAGTCTTTCTGAACTATATTTAGCAAATGTCTACAAGGACGTTCATTTGATTAAGACCACTAACCAAGATTTCCCCCTTTGAACTCATCAGTTTTTAAATTGCCATTAAAACAAGCTAATCACATATCTCCAGATTTTAATAAAAGACTAAATTATAATCATCAAAGCCTCTGTATCTATGTATACATTTTATTCATTTCTACTATGATAATCATTTTTTCTTGAGCTTGAAGAAAAAATGTAATCCTTTAGAATTTATTGCATGAGATTCACCATTGTCATTTAAAAATCAATTTATTTTACATGATTTGGAAATGAGAGAGCATTGAAACACAGGCAGAAATTCTCTAAGCTTTCTTGACACAAAATTCACCAGTATAATATGAAACTTCGGTCCTATTAGTTCTTGTTATCTTCTTGAAAAATGTTTCCTACATTAACTGGCTACTAGGAAACTAGACAAGAACAAGCATCAACACCATCAAATCACGTATGTATGTATTCTGAACATTTGTGTTGCATTCCTGGTCCTAAGTTGAAAATCTAGTTTACTAAGATACTCTGTTATCATTTTACTTTTGAAGTAGGTTCAAGTGTCTGTGGATAATAAATCATACTTCTCAGTGAAAACCTGCTGATAAATATCTTAAAAATCTAGCACTATCATTTACATTTGTTCGTATTTGGCAAAATACCAAAAAAAAATGATAAACTGTCACTTAAAAAAATGAAACAAAACCCCAGGATCGCATGGTGTAAGGAAGCCATAACCAGGAAGAGCCTGTCTGGAAATCGTAGCAATCTCTCCGAGATCTGTTAGCTGGGTCCACAGAACAAGGAGCTCTGTCTTTGTATTTGTCTAATGTTGTTTTGAATATACTAATTCAGAGGTCCCCAACCTTATTGGCACCAGGGACTGGTTTCATGGAAGACGATTTTTCCACAGACCTGGGTGAGAGGTGGTTTCAGAATGATTCCAGCACATCACAGCTCCACCTCAGATCATCAGGCATTGGATTCTCAGAAGGAGCACACAAGCCAGAGCTATCACATGCTCGGTGTATAGTAGGGTTCACCCTCCTGTGAGAACCGAAGGCTGCTGTTATCTGACAGGGGGTGGAACTCAGGTGCCAAAGGTGGGGAGTGGCTGTAAATCAGATGCTCGGGTCACTAGCTCACTGACCTTCCCTCTGCTCATCTTCTGCTGTGCAGCCCGGTCCCTAAGAGGCCGCAGACCAGTCCTAGTTGTGGACTGCAGTGCTAGTTCCTTTGTAACAGTCTCACCCTACTTAGGCAGAAATTGTAGGCACCTCATTAGAGAAATTTCTGTGTACTTAATGGTAATAAATACTGAGCAAGAGAAAAGCCATGAAGAATACAGAAATTTCCCCTTCTTGGAAGAAGACCATGCATTTGAGCCACGTAATCGTACTTTTGGAGAAATCGCAAGAAAGGAAGGAACTCTGAGAAGTCCAATGGTTGATCTTGTTCTCTGTTTCTAAAATCATAACTAATCCTGCCCAATTCCGTTACTTTCTGTCCAATTTTCTAAAATAGCCAAGGATGTAAATTCCATAACTTTACATAATAACTTTTCTCAGTGTTTAATCATAGCTTCTTGTCAAGTTTTTTTTTTTTTAAGCCTTTCTATCAAACCAAAATCACTTTCCAAAATTCAAATCTATTTCTATGTGAAAATGCAGACCAGCTTCAGATCCTTTCCCTCCTACCAGCTCTCCCCGGGAAGAAAAAAATGTTTCTTTTTCTCTGAAATAAACCCCCAACGCCAATGGTATTTTTTCGTAAGTTTTGTTTTCCCTTTAATTGCTTTGTAGAGGCAAAGAAAGCATAGGAAAAGCATCAAAAGTACACAGCAAAAATGAGTGAGAAAGTAGGAAACATTTGTCCCCCAAGTATTGACAGCTTGAAAATACAGTTTACAGGAAAAACAGTAAATTAAAAGAAGTTCAGAAAATGAATCTCTATATAAAAAAGTGACCGCAATCCTGCTAGACTGAATTCTTCAAGTTCAAGGCCTATGTCTCCTTCATTTTTGATTTGTCCATATTTAGCAGAGCGTCTGGCACATAAGAGACACTTAGTAGAACATTTGAAAAGTAAACTTGCGCAGATAAGCAATTTGTTTTATAGTAACATAAAAATATTCAAAATCAAAAGAGCCACAAAAATATTAGAAAGAAGTGTTATTATATTAAAGGACAGCACAGAAGGGGCAGTGTGGAAGGGGCAGGAAGGAAGCAAAAAACTTGGACTAGAGGATTTTCTTGGACTCTTCTCATCCTTAATCATTCACAGCTTCCTGGCTCTGTTTGAGTGGGGTTGGTCTAACCTAGCGGTTCTCAACCTGTGGGTCGCAACCCACAGGAACTGTATTAAAGGGCTGCAGCATTAGGAACGTTGAGAACCACTGGTCTAACCCAATCCCCCTAAAAATCATTCTCCTCAAGGCTCCCTTCTTGTGCCCCCTGTGAGTAGGAAGATTGCAAATTATTTTGTGGGAATGAGCCCTAGAAATTTTAAAACCTGTTGGTAAAGCAGTACAAACAAAAAATTACGTTATCTGCCTAATACAAAAGCACAAAATCACTGGTCTCTAATCTGTTTTAGTTAGGACAGTCCGTGTCTTCTCTTAGCACAAACAAAAAGATGACAAAGTTTAATAAAGATTTCGGATCCCCTACTTGTTTTTATTTGTATAGAAATGGTGGGGGTGGGGGCACCGTGAGACCATTTGGGTGAGATCTGCCACCTGTTGGTTGCAGCCCCTCTTTGGTTCTCTGTCTCTCACTTGGGTTACACTCCCAGATCCCTTCCAGCTTTCCATGTGGCTGTCTGTGTGTCACTGATACAGAGGGGGACCCAGAGAAGCTGACATCCATCTTGCTATTTTCCACAGATGTCACTGACATGCGAAGCTGGGAAGGAGCCAATGTCCAGACGCGGCCTGAGCGGCCTGAAGAGTCCAGTCCTTCAGCACTTCAGCGAGCTGCCTGGGGGGTCTCTGAAACTGAAAGTGACCTCACCTATGGGGAAGTGGAGCAAAGATTAGATTTGCTTCAAGAACAACTTAACAGGTATAAACAGAAGCGAGGCAAAAGGAAAATATAACCCAAACCTTGGATCAGTCCAGGCTTACTTCTTTGAACAGCAAATCCTCTTGCCATAAACCCATATTTTCCCTACATACTTGTTAATTTAAAATAAGACTCAGGTTGGTGCAATGGCTTATGCCTGCAAGGCTATAATCCTAGCCCTGTGGGAGGCTGAGGGAGGAGGAATGCTTGAGTCTAGGAGTTCAAGACCAGCCTGAGCAACACAGCAAGATGTTGTCTCAAAAATAAATAAATAAATAAATAAATAAGAAAGAGAAAAAAAGAAAAGAAAAGTTAAGTAGGTATGAGGGTGCTCTTGTACTCCTAGCTATGAGGACGGATCCCTGAGCCCAAGTTTGAAGTTGCAGAGAGCTATGATATCACTACTGCACTCCCACCTGGGTGACAGTGAGACCTTGTCTCTAAAACAAGTAAGATCAAAGTAAGTAAGACTAGAATTTGACAGAATTATTAATTTGTGTTGCAAGGAGCATTTATTTGGTATATTTCATAATGCTGGCAGCATAAATCCTATTTTTTCTTTACTGCCTACAGTTAGTATTTCACTAGCACTGGCTACCTTAGATAATTCCTTTTATTCCCTCAAATTAATTCATATTTCACTTGTTCAACACCCTCCTTTTACTAGCATGTTCCTAGTAATTCAGTTATCTGTTTATGTCATTTTAAAAGTACCAGCAAAGTAATTTAAACGTGGATTCAGTCAAGTCAACTTGTGGAAAATATAATGGAATTGAAAATGGCTCAAAGTTAAATCCCAGATCCTCTTCACTTCTCTTTCACCTTTGATCATGACCATTTAGTAAATCTGAGGACTAAAGTTTGGTTTTAGAGAGGAGGTAACCCTTTCATCTGAGTCTGTATAGTTTTTAGTTGTCTTTCATTTGGATATTTCCCTGGATTCCAAGGCAGATTTCTCGAGGTCCCTCTGTCCCAATCCCCCAGAAAGTTACAAGAAAAGATACCAATGCCAGAAGCCTCTGAGCTGGTTCCATCTGAGTCGCCAAATATAAACAGGGTGACAGAACCAGGAGTCAAACACCCATGTAGGTTAAAGTTGTCCTGTATTACCAAGATTCCAGGAAGACAGGGAGATTGTTCTCAAAGCCTGCCTTACTTTGAGAGAAATCTACAGACTTCCCCCAAAGTCACTATTTTTAGCTGTACATCATTAAATCCTCTTATCTCAAGCTGCAGGACTCTTACCGGTGTTTGTCACATTCCTAAGCTATACATTTTCCATCTGTTGTTCTATCTTCAGCCCAGGTCATGGTGGCCTTTATGGCACTGGAACCAGGAGAGGGCTGGCAGACGTGACTGTCCAATAACTATTTAAATCATTAAGTAACTTTCACAGCCATAGGCGGGGAGGTTGTTCCTCTCCTTACAGTAACACATTAGTCACGGGTTACTATCTATGCTTAATATAGCTTGTGCCTTTTGTCCATGCCATTTGCTGTTGTTGTTGAAAAACTGAGTGAATGAAAAGATGAGTGACAGGGGCAGGGATGGTTTCTGTAGAACAGTACTAGCCCTGTCCTTGAAATTGGACAGCCAAGGTAAAAATCCTAACTCTGCTACTTAACCACTTACAGGAATATTGGGTCCAGTAATTTAAAATTCCCTAGCCTCAGTTTCCTGCTTTGACTCATACCTACCTGCAAGGCTGCTGTAAGGATTAAAACAGTATACATGGAGATTATACACAAATGCTTTACAAAATGCAAGATGTACTTGTAGCTAGGTATAATTTGATTAGCAATGAACTTCTATTATTGGTGTTCGTTTGAGTGTATTCTCCTAATTTATATGAATTTCCTGGTCTGGACCTTTCTTCACGACTAAAATTGAGGTTTTAGTATACCTTTGTTGTTCTATGATAGGTACCAACCATTGCTGCTGGGATAAGTCATACTGTTTTTTGATATGTCCAGAGGCTAAAAGTGTAAGCTTTTAAGGGTATGTTCCTCTAGGGCCCATTTGTCTTGCAACCACCCGATAGTAATAATAATTGTTATTGCTATTTTATTACATTAGAACATTGTGATTATCATATTAAACTTTTCCACGGCATAGGTGTAATTAAATCTCTTTTGATGTATTCCCAGCATCTGTGTGTGCTTTCTGAAGACATTCTGAATTGCTACTGTGAAAGATGTCAAATCAAAATGCAGTCATTCATGTTAGAAAAACCCTGACAAACGGAGCCGGGCAAGTTTATTGATGAGAGCGTTCTCATGCTTAAAATTCCCAATAACAAAATCCATCACAAAGATTGTGCAAAAAACACAACCTTACACAAAGGCCATCACCACCTTACAAAAAAACACTTCTGCAAGGACACCTGCCCAGCAACTGCCTTGGACCTCAGACTGGCGTCCCTCTTGCTATTGATCTTTGTAGCTAAGAATAATCATTGAAAGACAGTTCCGTAATCCTTCCCATTCTCCCTTTAAAGGCGTTTTCCTTCCTTTACTTCCCTGTATAAGAACCAGGGCACATGTCTTTCCGTTGTCAGGCCCTATTCCTGAATAAACATCCCCTTCTCTCGAGAGCTTCTCTGTTTGGTATTCAGGTGGACGCTACCACTAATACTTCTTCTCTTTTGACAATTTCTTCACTTTATGCCAGAAAATAAAAGTATGGAAGTTTGAATAGGGCACCTCAACTCACACTTACACTTTGAGAATAAGGATCCTGGGACATTTTCCAGAGTTGTGTCTACTGTGTTTGGCTTTGGCATTTGCTCAAATATAGAACTGTGAGTCCCTACCCCCCTTGTATCATTCAAATTCACAATTCATGTACACAATGCAATAAAAACAAAGCTAGATGATCTAACTTCAACGGTCCTTTCTGCTGATACTTTTCTGCATTAATGACTAAAATATATGTAGGGTGAAAGGTTTACATTAGAAATGTTTTTATGTATTTATATCTTAGGCCTTCAGGTTGATGTATTTAGGGAAATTATTAATACTTGATCCTACAGCAATGCTTCTTAAACTATAATGTGCATTTGAATCACTTGGGGATCTTGTTAAAAATGTATATTCTAAGTCAGGAGATCTGGAGTTGGCAGAGATTCCACATTCTAACAAGCTACCAGCAATGCTCAATGTTGCTGGTCTAAGGACCACACTTTGAGTAGGAAGTCCCTAGAAAATGTAAAAACTGTTAGTAATGACTCCTTTTGTTGCAGAACACTCTGAGCTATTTATCTGTACACCTGGAGCATGGCATAGAGCACTTGTTTAGTGTTACAGTTATTTATGCAATTTATGCACTTTCTACACTTTGCCTAAGAGGTCAGCTCCGATCAGCCAGTGGGATCAGATTCATATTTATTCGTCACCCTGTTCTCTCATCTTCCTATCAACGCTGTGCCTGATACAGAGAATAGAACATCTGTTTTACATAGCTTTATAGCTATGTTGACAAAAAAGTTCCAAAAATGTTATTTTCTGTTTTAAAAACCAAAATGAATTTTTTTTTAATTTCTATAACTCCTCCTGGGTAGAGCAGTTTATGTAATCTCAGTAGAAGAGTGCCTTCTAATTAAGCCAAAAGACCCTAGTCATAAAACATGAAAATACAACCCTGTGCATAGTAAAGAAGCTTCTCACTAAATCTTTTCTTTGTTGACTGCTCATGATATCAAACCACCAATTAATAAAACAAAATTAAATAGTCAGAATTATTGCAAGAAGGGAGATTGCCCTCAGGACATAATCTAGTGATATTTTATAAGAAGAAGTGAGAAGTAGAATATTTATAAGACTTTGAGTCTAGGCCTTTCAAGGTGGGAAGTTGATTCAAAGTGGGCAAAATTCATGATATAATACTTCAGGATTAATGCTGTGAGTCTGTATCTTGAACCAAATCTTGATAAGGTTTGATTAAGAAGTTTGTTCGGATGAGCAGACTACTGTCTTCAGTGAGTCAATCTGTAAAAATTTCCTGAAGAATTAAGAGTGGAGGGGAAACTGAGCTGAGCCCTGATTAGCATAAGACTCACTTCCTGCTTGAGAAACCTGGAGAATCATGAGAATGGCATGTGAGCTGTGTACGTGCAGACCAGAAGACTGGCCTCCAAGGGAGAATGTATTTGTGAGGTGTGGCAATACCCGGCCTAATAATTATGGTAAAGATTCTCTAGATTCCAGAGGTCTCTAGATGCTGGAGGCAGAGTTTGTGCTCAAGGTCTGGTTTTGCAAAAGCAAAGATGGAGACATTCTACCTGACCTTCTCCATGTCCTCCCTAATCAGTGCTAATGTCAGGCAAGCAGCTTTTATCTACTTCTTCCCTTTTCATGACAATAAATACGGACCGAGGTTTACTCAGGAGAGCTCCTCCCAGAGTTCCTCAGTCCCCCGACATAGACTTTGTGCCAAGCCCCCTCACCAGGCAACCCCCAAACCTCTTCATAAGACTAAAGTTATTCGCTGTTTTTTTTTTTTTAATTCTACCCAGGGAAAGTTTTCATGGAACAAACAACCAAGTTGTTATCAGAGTTGCTATGCTCTTATCTAAGTAATATTGACACAAAAAGTCCCTGTTCACACCCTATTCTAGCCACTTCTCCTGGGCATGGTGTTGATTGAGAGTCCCTCTTATGGCACTATATTGCAATTACTGAACACGTGAATGCTGAAGCCTCAGCTTCCAATAGATTTTTCCCTCATAGAGACCACTCAAATAGGTAGAACCCTTGATAAAGAGATCCTTTTTCTCAGAGAAACCTGCTACCTGACAAAAGGTATTACAGGACTCAAAAGCATTGTAATTTTTTACTCTGCTGGGACTTGACTTCATCTGTGGATGAAGTTTTTATTTCAAGCCTTTAAACATTCAATGTAATAAACATGTGTAAACCACCCACAACTAAATGCTGCTCTTAATGATGGGATAAATTTGTACAGAAATATGTCTGATGAAATCTGAATGTAAACTTTTCTCTGGAGACTCAGAGGAAAGAAATTACAAATAGGTTAAATAAGGGAAGATTTTGGGAGAGAGATAAAAATTTAAGCTGGGTCTTAAAGAATAAAAGGAGAAAACTAACATAAGAATAAAGCAAGGGGTCTGCCCAGTTTAGTTGGTACCATAAAAATTAGATAAGACCTTAAGGTAAGAAGTAGATAAATAAATCAGTCGACAACTGACTTTCCCCTTTTCAGTTTGTGTCTTTGACATTTGCAAAGCTATGTATAATTTATAGGTATTGGTTTAGAAGCCACTAGGTTATGACTATCTATCCTTACTAACTACAGAAAATCTGTAAGAATAATGTGTTATTGTGAGTCTTAGGAGGAAGATTTGCAGTGTTAATGTCAAAAACCAAAAAGGAAAAAATGATCTTTTCTCTCTCATGTTTTCCAGATTTATTATGTTTTTTAGCAAATGAAAGGCTAATTTCTATTTTTTTAAATTTTTTTACTAAATTATAGTTGTGTACATTAATGCAATGATGGGGTACAATGTGCTGGTTTTATTTCTTTTTTCTTTTCTTTCTTTTTTATTTTTTTGCCTGGGGCTGGGTTTGAACCCACCACCTCTGGCATATGGGGCTGGAACACTACCCCTTTGAGCCACAGGCACCACCCAATTTCTTTCTATTTTGAATTCCACATAGATAGCATGTACTTAATTAAGCAAAATTATTTCTATGATTTTAACATTTTTGGTAAGATTTACTTTTTCTTTACATTGTTATTATTCATAGGCAAACCCGCACAAATAATTGAAAAGTTAGAGGAATTTTCTAAAGAGGCATATGGTCCAAGTCTTTTGTTCTTTTGTCCACAAAATTCCCTATGTATTTAATGCTCTTGTTAACAATCACAAACAAAGGGAATCTGACCAATACTATTTTGTTATTTTTCCTTAAATTTTAATTTAAAATAAGAGAATGAAATTAACAGGCCAGTAGATGACCTGTGAATTTTGAGGAAAAAATGATCAGACTAGTATTTTGTAGGCCAGACGGGTCAGAGAGCAAGTGAATTTTTAAGTTTGATCTGTGACTTAAATACCAAAGGCCCTAACCTTTAAGAAATTTGGCAGTTAACATCATTTATCATTAAAGAAAGAATACAATGAATAATGTAAAATACTTCTATTGAATAGGAAAGAGACAAGGTAAAATAACAATATAAATTTAAAATACATAAGAAATTTATCCTGCGATGCTGCAACTGTGAAAGAAATGTTACCAATCTATTTTTTAAAGACTAAAAAATACATTCACAAGATACTGCGTAAAGGCTAATTAAAAAGTAAAGACAATTACTGATTAACAGTAAGTTTTCAGTGTGTGTTATGTTTTGAAATCAATAAAGGCTAATTAAAATGAAGTCCATTCCCTTCATCTCCTTTTCTATTAATTCCTAACATAAGCTGAAAAAGGAATGGTCTTTATCAGAATCATTATTATGACACAGCGCATATTGGTCAGGAAAGAATCCCTGTGCTCCCTCTCCTGTCCTTCTTGTTTAAAGCAGGGTAATAATTCTAGCGCGGGAAGTGATGAAATTTTCACAACTGTGCTTCCAATCTTGAACGATTTTAGGACTGTCTTTCCCTACTTCTATCTGTCCTGCAGACTTGAATCCCAAATGACAGCTGACATCCAGACCATCCTACAGTTGCTGCAGAAACAAAGTGCAGTGGTGCCCCCAGCCTACAGCATGGTAACTGCGGGAGCTGAGTATCAGAGACCCGTCCTCCGCCTGATGAGAACCAGTCATCCTGCAGCATCTATCAAGACTGACCGAAGTTTCAGCCCTTCCTCACAAGTGAGTGCAGCTATTGTACCATCAAGGGCATCTCCCAGGGTGTGTCTTCAGGGATCACCTGAAACAGAATCACCTGGAGTGCTTCAGAAAATACATATTTCTGCCTCAATCCGTTTCTACTTAAAATGCCTGGAAATGCACCTGGAATCTGCATTTTAAACAAGCTCTCCACTGATTCGTATGCTGAATTAAAATTTGAGAACAATGAACATAGAAGAATGATTTTAAACACTAGCATTTTTTTCAAGAAAAAGTTTTCCAGAAACAATCCATTTACATTTATATACAGTAGAACTTTGAAAGAATAGTCCTGAATCCAAAAAGTGATTCAGAAAAAAACCCCCCAAATCTGTAATTTGCTGCAGTGGCAAAGTCTGTGAGAGAAAGAAAGCAGAGAAGCACTATGGCCAGATTAGATTTGAGATTCAAATGCCATCAGGCTAGTTATCTGAACTGTGCCCCGCCCATCATCAGAGATCTCTCTTTTTTTTTTTTTTAACTTGGATGCTACACATAAGAGAAGGAATTAAAAAGTCTTCTTTATTCTGCCTCTGAACCCCTTTAAGAAGACCTTATAGAATTAGTGAATATGACTAGTCTAGCTTTCTTGGAATTCTATTTTGGACATTAGTCTTAATTACATAAACATTATGACCAAATTGGACATATGAAGAATGATTTAAATAAGGATTTCTGGAACAGTTTTATAAAACTTTTTTAAATGTTTGGAAATTTAAAATGCAAAACATTTTGGGAAATGAAACTATGTTAGTAACAGTAGGTAATATACTAGAAAGAAAAATGATCTTTCTGAAGTTTAAAAGTAGAAATTAATTTATCTTTAACCCGTTTTCAATGGCTTGGAAACATGTAAAACCAAGTGATTTGCTGTGATTGAGACAGCATTATTCGACTAGAAATAGCAATTATGCTTCCTTTTTTTTTCTTTTCTCTTTATATCCCTCACTGATCAAGTGAACACTTTTCTCTCCCAGTTTTATATTAACTTTGAATTAAAACTTATCTGGAAAACTGAATGTATAATAGTATTTTTAAAATCTGATCTTAAAAATCTGGCTTCAGGATAAGTTTTTGGAATGGTTGTTTAGTATTATTTAAACTAATAAGTGATCTCCAATGGTTGTTTAGTACTATCTAAACTAATAACTGACTCATCCACGGTTGGTTAACACCACTAATAAATACAGATTAATGGGGAATGAAAAAGCATACAGATTTCATGAGTATAATTTTCAGTGACTATCAATATGAATCATAAAAACCTGTTTTCTTTTCTCTCTGTCAGTGTCCTGAATTTCTAGACCTTGAAAAATCTAAACTTAAATCCAAAGAATCCCTCTCAACTGGGGTGCATCTGAACACAGCTTCGGAAGACAACTTGACTTCACTTTTAAAACAAGACAGTGATCTCTCTTTAGAGCTTCACCCTCGGCAAAGAAAAACTTACCTTCATCCGATCAGGCACCCTTCTTTGCCAGATTCATCCCTAAGCCCTGTAGGAATCTTGGGTCTTCATAGGCATGTTTCTGATCCGGGTCTTCCCGGGAAATAATCATTTTGTACTATTTATTCCACATACAATGTAAGTGCTTTTAATGGCTGTTTTCCTTTTTGTATTTAAATCCTCTCTACTTGACTCAGGGGCTCACAAGGTACCATTATATGCAAAAGTACTGTATATTTTCCTAAATTGAAGCTTGTAAGGTAAAATTAAGCAGTTAGGATGTATATATACGTTAAGAACTTTTGGTTCCAAATGTTAAAACTGCCAGCATCTCAAGGCACCTTATTTTTTATTTTTATTTTTTAAACCATGTGCATGTTAGGAAACTCCAATTTCTCTTGCATGGAGACTCCTATTTATTGCTTTTAGTAAACCAGTACTTTGTTATGAAAATGCCTTCCAAGCACATAAAAAAACCAAGGAATAAAACTGTTCATGGATGTAACTCAGATTCAGATGATCCTCAACTCGTGTAAGTTTAAGAGGAATAAAGGGAACTTAGTCACTTTTGAGAACAGATATCCTTCTGGATTGAGATGTTTATAATTACATTCCTTCCTCCACAATGAAAAAAATAAAATACAAAGTTTAAGAGCTATAGAAATCCAGGACAGCATAGGAAGCCATCTCCAAAGTGAACAGGCTAACATTAATGAGAACAAAATGTCTTTCGAGATAAAATTGTCACTAATTGCATTCATAAACCATCTAAAATATTTCCCAACACATTTCCTTGAAGGTTTAAAAAAAGTTTTATCTAACTTTGCTTTTTTTCTGGGGAGCAAGGTATGGTCTCCTTAAGAGCTGATAAAGTTAAATTGATTTCCACAGCTTTCTTCTGATTCGTATTTTAGAGCAATCCTGGATTTGACCAAAACAGGGGATACATAGTTTAAAAAAAATTTCAGTGGGTTTGCAGCGCAAAACTATCTCCATCTTCCATTAAGTATATGTTGTTCTATGGCTTTCAATTTCCAGCTGTAGAAAAACATATGCCTACAATGGAAATGCACAACCAGCAGTAACATTTCAGTTTTGTTTAGTTATTTAAAGACTTTTGCTAATCAAAGATTAAATGCAAATCTGTTATGTATCAGTTGGAAGAAAAATATTGACTCCAGGATACACTGGAATGTGTCTTCCAATGAAATGTCATCAATTCAACTGTTAGGGTTTTTTTTTTTTTGAAGTTTTTGGCCGGGGCTGGGTTTGAACCCGCCACTTCCAGCATATAGGGCCAGAGCCCTACTCCTTTGAGCGACAGGAGCCACGCAGATTGTTTTTTTGTTTGTTTGTTTGTTTTTTTAAGAGGGAATTCTCCTAAAATTAGGGTGAAAAAAAATATTACAAGTTAATTTAAGATGCTGATTAGTCAAGTTCTCATTAAGAAATCTTATTTTTCAAGTACTATTATATCTTTTCCTCTAAGAAAAATTTTAAAATTTGTTGAAAGTTCCTTAGTCCTTTACTAATTCTTACATTCATACATTATTTTAAAGAAACATTTTATCTGTGCTCATTATTAAATGGGTTAATTTTTATCCCTTCAGGATAGAAATACAATCTATTGCTTTGCCCTTTACCTTTTAAACTAATCTATTAACTTTAAATGCAAGCAACTTATTTAAATTAAAAAAAAACTATTGCACTCCTTAAGATGTGATTAAAGTGACCTTAAATTGCTCCCTAAATATTTGTAAACAGTCACCTACATTGATAATCTATGTGGGAGGCAATCCGTAAACATGGTCATGTTCTTATTCCTGCTTAATTTTTGAAAAACCAAATCATGAGTGCTCAAGCACCACTCAATTCAACAAAAGTGTAATAATATTAAAAACCAGTTTCCCAGACCATTTAGTGTCGTGAAGATATAAACCCAGGAGCTAACTGATGCTTTCACTTCCTTGTTCAACAAACATTTAACGGGTGCCTAGCAGGGGAGAGAGTCCCATAAATGGCTAACTCAAATTCAGAGCACTATTTAGGGATTTTATTTCCATATGGGGACACATTTTTGCAGCTGCAACAGATTTCACAAGGATTGCCAGCCTAAATTCCAGGAACATTCAGAATGAATTCACCAAGCTGCTGATTTGTAGGGAGAGAGGATTTGGCAGGTGAGAAACTGAGATCTGATTGTTTTATTAGTGAATGCCTCAGCTGCAACATTTGGTATGACATGCATAAAATGCAGCCTTCCACATAAAGCTTCCGTTTATACGTCTTAGTAAAAACTGAGGATGAAGGAATGAAAAGATAGAGAATGGTGCACAAGCATCCAGTTTCTATTAATTCTAGCTCAACACAAACCTTTTTTCCTTCTTAATTCCTTGACAAAAAATAATTGCTTGATATTAAAATCTTAATTCTCAGAGAACTGGACAGGATTAGGAAGGTTCCTTCCTCCAGGCAAGAACTTTAAAAGCGCCTAAGCAATATAAAGGCACAATTAGGTATACATGTCAGAAGAATCTATTGTTAAACTGACTTATAGGTGACCAAAGCAATTATCTTGATGTATAAAATTCATCCCCGTGCCCTAGCCAAAGATCTAATGCCTAAATGCACCATCACCCTCCCTACTTGCTACAGCAACAACTGTGTGACCCCTCCATCTAGGAAGCCTGCTGAGGGCCAGGTGTATCTGCTGCAGACAATCATAACTGCAGCATAGCAAATACTTTCCTCGTAGGAAATCAAAGCACCTGCATAACACCTTTTGCTCTCCTCATAAAAATGTTATATGGTCCCCTGGCCTAAATAAAATGTCATCTAAAATCTGAAGTTTGTTTGGATTAGATGATCTCCTGCTGTTATTAATTGATGGGCAAAGAGCTAAAAAACTTAAGACTTAGCATTTTACCCTGTAGGGGAGTCACATCCTTTAATTAGTTGAGAAAACCAGAACTAAAAAAATGCTGAAGCAATGTTCTTGCAGGGTTTTTAAATTAATAATCACTCATTGAACACACATGGGAAAGCAGAGGGTAGCTCCCACAACATAATTTCTTAAGTCCATTATAATATGTTCGTTATCAGAGCTGAACTTCCCTACTCTTTTAGTCAGAAGATCAGGAAACTAGGCCCGGGAAATCTGGCATTTACGGTCAGGTTTAGTATGTATGTGTGTTGAACTGTAGCTTATAAGGTCCTTTTGTGACCACTGATCTTTAGCAACAGTTTCAAAATGCCTAGAAGAACAATGTCCTTAATCCAAATCCCATTATTATCATCTAAGGATAAAATTAATCAATTTATTAAAATCGATAATTTTAGCATATCTAAAATTATTTAACAACAGTATCTTTCCTCTGAATGTTTTTCATTCTTTTAAAGGAATTCTGTAAATCAGTCCTTGGAAATGAAGTGCAATAATGACTAACTTGTAACTTAAATTGTGTAGTCTTTAAATTGCTTGTCCATGGTTAAAACCCAAAATAGATCTATTTATTTACAAGTAGATTTCTCCTTACAAATCAACATTTTTATAAATTACCAAAAAATCAAATGTTACTAGGTTTCTAATCATATTTTTATAGTAAAACAAATGGGTGTATCCTGAGTTCAAATATGCACTTGGAAGACAGCATGATGTAGGAAAGTGCTCAAACTAAGAGGACTAGCATCACCTGGGAACTGGTAAGAAATACCTACTTTGGGGCCCCACCCAATCTACTAAATCAGAAACGTTGGGGGTGAGACCAATAAGCCCTCCTTGATTCTTATGTGCAGTAAAAATTTGAGAATCACCATAGAAAAGCAAGCTTATGTTTTGCAATCAAGAATTGAGTCCTAACACAAGAAAGAGTTCTTTCATTAATGGCTCTGAGACCCCAATCAAGGTAATTAACTTCCTGAGTCTTTTCCCTGAATCTGTAAAAATGAGATGTTTTCTGACTCACAGATGCATGAGGAGGAAATGATATAAAATATAGTAAAGTGCCTGGTATATAGTAGGTGCTCAAAAATGCTAGATTCTTTGTTTCTCATTCAGGAACAGAATATTAAAAACAATCAGGAAAACAGGATTTCCCACAATTTAGCTATTGCACAACGTGCCATGTCTCCAACTAAACAGCTGTTATTAAGACTGAATTTTTTGATTCAGCAAAACCTAAGTGTAGCTGTATTTTATCTCTTAGTTGTATTTTGCACTATTTGGTTTATAGCTTTAAAGTAATACTATTCACAGTGGTAACAGTGAGAGTATTAATCACTTTATACAAACATATCTATTCCGAATTGATGTTAAATACCAAGTACACAAAGGTAATCTGTCGAATTCAGTACTGCTAGAATGTATTCACTGATGGCTGGCTCACTGTGGAAGACCCTCTTTAGATCTGTGATACATGCATGTGTATACTCCCCAGATGGATTTGACAGTACATTTACACAATATGATTTTGAAAATAAGTTCACCTTCTGTTTTTACAGAAAATAGGATTTTACAGTTGTAAAGATTCGATAAAGACTCCCAGACCACTCCCTTATTGCACAGAGACATTATACAGGTCTTACTAAGTGCTTGTGTGCAATGGTGGAAATGATGAGGGACTCAGTGTAGTAAACCTGAATTCAAATCCTACCTTCTCCATTTCCTCAGTAAGCCCCTGTATCCAAAATCATAAAAATGGAAGTAACATTTGTCATAACTTGAAGGGTTATATTGAGGATCCTCTGAAAGATATATGTAGAATTGCCTTGTAAACCATAAAGCACAGTGAATCTGTAAGATCATTGTGGGATTACCCACTATCACCAAGATAGTAGTGTTATAGTGGTCAGCACAGTCGTACCATTGCTCTGTCCTCTACCCAACCCTCACCACATTGACAATCTGTTAACAAAAACCTATAGATGATATGAATGATGATGTGAATGATTTTCATATACCTCCCAAAGATCTAGTTCTCAGAACAGGAGTATGCCACTGTTAAACAGGAAGTTTCCTCGCTATAGAATCCTAAAGTCAAATGTTGCCTTTGTTCAACATCCATAAAATTATACATTTTGCGTTGCAGTTGTTTTCTAGGTATGCTAATAGCTTCTCTCCCTTACTCTCACTCAAAGCTATTTTCTTATGGTTCTACTTAACTTAAATTGAAGTGATGTTGAACTTTTACAAACTAAAAGGTCATGTCTTAAGTGCAAAGTATAAGGTATTGTGACTGGTCAGTGCCCAAGCTTAGAGAAATTAATTTATCATATGCTCTTGTGGTACAAATACACTGTGCTTTAATATCAAATACAAAAAATTCACAGGAAGACTTAAATTATTAATAATTGAAAACATAAAAAGAAATTACAAGGCTTATTTATATTCACTATTAAGTGAAGGTTGAGAGGCATGACTAACAAAAAGTTATTTAAAACTAATAGAATAAAACATCTATAGAAATGCAAAGTTAAGAACAAAGAACCACACAATCAATTGACCAGTTCCATTGTTCTGCCAATTATAATC